AAAAAACTATTTTATTTTTCAATATGGGATTAATTGTTTTTGTCAATTCGACATTTGTTATTTCACTTCACGATACATTAAATTGTTTTTATTTTAATAAACTTTATGTTTTCAATTTTTTTATAGTTAAGCTCGCATAATACGAGTATAACGAATATTAATTGTTTATGGAATAGTTCGCTTAAAGTAGTTAAAATTTCACCTTTAAAAATATATAACACAAATTGTGCGCTTTTCGGTTCTCACGAAGTGTCTGCAAACTTTGTGCGACAGTGTATACACACTTTGTAGATACGTAGGTAGCGTTCTTTTTTGCGTGTTTATCAGACATTTTACACCGAACTTGCAAAAAGAAAATAAAAAAGCTAAACAAATGAATCTACATACATATAAATTCATATCTTTTTATGGTAAGTTTATATGTATATATGTATATTGTTATGTACATATGTAGATAACATACACTGATATTAAATTAATTTCTTCAAACAATTATGCACATGATAAAACCACTTCAGAGGCAAACAACAACAACAACATTTTCTGTATAACCGTTATTATGCACACGTTGTGCAACAATATTTAGAAATTTGCTGTAACGATTTTAAATTATTAAAACACTTTTGAATCACGAAATTGGTTTGAGATCATTCAGGCCGAACTGCCATAGGCGTAGCACATACATGCATATGTACATACTACATATCTACATAAATATATAAACGTGTGTAGGCATGTGCATGTGAAAAAAGTAAGGACTTAAGTGGGCTAAAAACGTTTCAGAATTTTTTTTTTTTAGAAAAATGCAGAGTCATGATGAGGTGACGACTAAGCAATTGCAGAGGCAAACCTATGATAATACATATTTGCATACATTAATATGTACATAGTATGTATGTGATATGTAAAGCGAGAGGTTTGTTAATTTCACAAGACCAATTTGATGACGTCATGCAGGCAATGAATTTATAAATTAGTTCGTTAGATACTTACATACATACATACATACATACATGTGTATATACATAATAAATTCAATGAGTGAAATGCCATGTGTTTCGGTAATACTTTTCTTCTTATAATTTTATGTTTGAAACTAAATTGTTTTTCGTTAAATTTTCATTGAATTTTCATTATTGATTAAAAATTATACATTTACAACTTAACTGCATATTTGGTGCAGTTTAGAAAAAGCGGTTATCAGGCTATAGGAATAATTTTGAGTGCTCTACTATAAATATTCAAAATTCCCAAATCATAAAAATCAAATACAAACAAAATATATGACACCAAGCGTACTGACAACTAACAAACGTATACAAATTGGAACACCCAATGAAAAACTGCAAATGAAATTCGCAAATTAACAATAATTGTTAGCTACCTGAAAATGCAATAATTAAAAAAGTTAGAAGCTAAAATCTTTTGAACTCTTATTGGCGGATATTTTGTATTTTGTCATTTATCTCATGTGACAATGACTAATATAATTAGTAATGTAGAAAACTGTAAACTGTGTTTCTTCTCAGCAAATATGCATGAGTGGAATGAGTTGATAAATATGTAGTTACATAAAAGTTGATAAGGAAATGGTTTCTACAGATTCTCCAGACGTATTGGAGCGAACTATATTATTGTGTTGACTTCGAAATGGAAATGCGTTCTTTAGTTTCTCAGAAATAATATGTATTCCCTTCACTTAAATATTTAAAAATTTGGACTTAAGCAATTTTTGGAAAATTAAGTGGGATATTTGGGAAGTGGCGCACTTTTAATTAAAACAAGATATGTTATAATTTATACATTAAAATAAATGTGATATATCACTTCTTGCAACAAATATGGTATAAAAACTACCATAAACCATAACATTTATATTTAGCTTTTATAACATTAATATTGCATTTTATTTAGAAAACCGGTTTATTAGTGAATTTCATAAATATTGTATATATGTATTTTTTTTTTTTAACAATTAGTCACAACTTCTCTTATCGGGCAACGATTTGCGTCTATTTTTACTATGACGTCTAGATATTTGTTAAAACAGCTGGTTTCATTTATAAACAAATTAATTTTAGCATGAACACCATTTTGTGAATCCCATGGTTAAAGGAAATAAAGTTCGTTTTATGTTTCAATACTAAACCAATATGAATATAAAAGTAATTAATTGGATTCAAAGTTTTGGTTTCACGATAACTAAGTTATAAAAACAAATAAATTCCATGAAAAAGAAACACATGCAAAAGATAAATATAGAAGCCTAAATTTCAAACGCTTATTTAAGTTTCATCTACTTTTGACCTAAGCTCCTTGGCCTTAACACTTTATAATTGAAGCACAAAATTAATTAGAAACAAAATACATTTGATATTGTTAAATTTTGTATAGATATCATTTATATAAAAATAATGATTTTAACCTTGAAATTTCAAGTATCTGTTCGTTTGGTAAATATTCAGTAAACACTTTATTCATCAGTCAATGTGAATACTATTATTTATATTATATTTTGATTTATAAAGGTTTCTTTTAAGATTTGAAAGCATAAAAAAGTAGAAACTTTTGGAAAGTGCTTTAAATTAAAGATGGATTTTATGTAAAAACAGAAGTGTATTTGTTTCATAAATTGAATTATAACTTCAAACTTTATGTGTCTGCAGACGCCTTGGTTTATTTAGTGGTATTTCATATACACTAATTATAAAGTTGTAGTATTAAATGAATTTCAAAAATACACAAAACAAAAGGGTAAAATTAAGAAAAATCATAATTGAAACTAATGTCAAGGTTAACAGAGTTATTACTATATATTGTTCTATTGTGATACTATAAGCGGCGGTGAATGTTCAATGGTATTTATTTTAAATTTTTGTTGTTATATTGCTTAGTAGAGTGTATACACAAAGGCATGTCTACTAATACGCATAACAGCAATTGCAAAGTAATTTAATAAAGGTAGATACATAGCAGGTATGAGATTACTCCCACGATTTGCCATCGATTTTTTAAACAATTAAAAGCTCTTACCAGCAAAAATATATATTCTACACAAATATTTAATAATATAAATAATTTTCATACTTCATACAATATTTATAACATACCATATATTTTTATACACTTACCTTTTAATAACTTTCTAACTGATGAGTATGCTTTTTGTTTAAAAATACTAAGGCCGCAATATGCACTTATTTCTTTGCACTTCAAACGAGTAATGATATATCCAGTTTTCGTATAGCTACGGGCACGTGAAAGTGTAATTAAAAATATTAAATTATAGGTTGTTATTGACACGAAGTCTCCAACTATTCAAAATGTAGTTTTGTGTGCTTATTGTGTAATATTTTGCCGGTCAGAAATGCAATGTTCGTGCCCTTTTCCTAAATTCGGTATGATGAAATACTATTTCTTCCTAAAGGTTTTATGGATGTATTGTCAACCTCTTCTTCTAGATTATTATTTCGTCGTTTATTATTTACACAACAATTCTAATTTAGAATTTTTATCTTTTATTTTCTATTGGCGGCCGACTATCGGTTCAATTTTTGTGTATACGATGCATTTAATCCTCACACTAGTTTCCTATATTGAAATTTATCTTTATAGATATCCACTGAATGACCTCACTCACTCTTCTTTACAGAGCCAAGAATTTTATATGATTCTCACACAGCCGAGATTTTACTGTCGGCTCCGCAGGAAGGGTTTGTTCGTGGCAAATACAATAGACGATTGTCCACAACAAATCAAAAATGTTGCTCAACCACACGTTCACACAATGAATTGACAGCGAAGCTCCTCTGCCGATACACTTTTCAAAAAATTTTATATTACACTTGCTATAGAACTCCTACACAATTTTTAATTTACTTTTTAAAACTGTTGCTCTTTTACTCCGGGTACAACTAAAACTATACTCTTTCCGCACATCCAAATTGTTTAATATTCTCAAGTTTGTGAAGCACGTTGTTCGATAGACTCGCTATTTATGCAATTCCGCTATAGCCACCGCAAAGGTTTATTTCCAATTCCACCGAATTCCACTGCATGCCCGTTGTCGATAGTGCTTTTCCTACTGCTGCTTCTGCCAAAAGTCATAAAAAATTTCTGACATTTTGCTTTCTAGACATTCTTTTAGTGTTGCCATGCTGTACACTTCTTTTTAGGAATGCACCCTGTATTTTCAAATATACCACCTTCGAATTGTTATTAATTCGCATATATTTTTAAAACAATACAATATTAAAACTCACTTAAACTAAACTCAAGAAGCTAGTTAATTACTTATATACCCAAAATTAAATATAATGTAAACAAACATTTGAGACTCATATAAAATTTATTTTGCATTATAAACTATGTATTATATTACTTTAGTTAACTTAATTGTAAATGTAAAATACAACGTTCGGTAAGTATTGTTACTACATGTTCAGCAGTCGCTAATCCTAGCACTTCTCCGGTGTCTTCAAGTGTTATTAAATGCTGCTTGCCTATTTTAATTTGTGGACCATTACGGTTTCTTAATCCATCTGCTCCGTCGTAATTTGATTTGTAAAGGAAAACATGACGATGCGATTCACAAATGATTGCGTAGTTTAAATCCGGTGAGCAATCAACGAACTTCCGTTGTTGTTTGGAAGCTTGGACATATCCAAATGCATGCAAGTTGCCCTCATGTCGAAGAGACCAATCTTCAGGTTTGGAGGGATTATATTGCTGCAACCAAAGCCCCGCATCAACGTCTTGTCGTATCGCCAAAGCGTTAGGAAATCCGGGACGCAAAATAGTGGAAAATATCGGAGGCGTTGATCCGAACAAAACAGCGTGTGTAACCGACTTACTTGGCATATGATAGCGACCTTCAAATTACATATTATAATTTTATATTAAAAAGGTTTTAAAATTTATGCTTACTCACCAATTTTGATTTCATCGTCGATAGTACCCATTGGAAAGTCACAATCTTCGATAGGTGTCTCTAAATTTGCAATAGGCTTCTGATCTATAGGCAAATCGGATTGTCTGCTATCATCCAACGTTTCTTTAGGCCCAGCATTGTTCTTGAAGAGCCATAACCAGCTTAAAGATTGATTTTGTTTAACTAGAGTTATTTGTAGATAATTGTTTTCCTGAAAATAACAAAAATTAATAAGGAATATTTACAATAAATATCATATATAACGTACGACAGTCCATGTCGTCAAATCTTGATCAATCTTATCGTATAGGTCATTATCAAGAAGCACTTCCTCGCCTACTTTTACAGTGAGTTTATTAGCAACGTATTTTATGTTATAATCTGATCTTTCTTTTCCTTCCTTAACGTCAAATTTGATTATGATGTCTTCGTCTGTTTGTGACCAAGTGAAACCCCCTATTTCATAATTTTTATCGTGTAGCTCAGCTTTTTCAACATTAATTTCGCTAATACTATTCGTGTTTTTAGAACGAAAACTATATTCATGATTCGAACATATTATCAGGGATTCCGCACGCGGTTCAAAAGTACAGTAATACAACGATCCTTTGCCTTCAAGGGTCTCAATCACTGAAAAATCCCAATTTTCATTTTGTATCCATTTGCCACAATGCAAGTGCATGAAATGACTTGATCCACCTCCTGTCACGTTGTCAATCCTCTTAATTCTACCAATTGCCATACTGATTTGTTTTTTCTCCTGCACAATATCCAAGCGGCAATCAAATATCATAAAATTACGCTCCCCAAGCTCCTCATTATTTAAGTTCGTTTCGGCTATCAAAATCCATTCGGTTGCCTTAAGACGATCTTTGGTGTCGAATAAATAAATGCCTTGAATACCATCGCATACAACACAATACTTTTCAGAAATAAAGCGCATGGAATAATTGTAATCTCCTTTCACACGTGTAGCTGCCGGTTTCAGGCGATAAACGATTTGCATTGATTCACCACGACCGGTTGATTCATTATAAGCAGTTCTTATAATCTCCCCAAGACGACTAATATAAAAGCAAATTGTGCGAGCCCAAGGATCCACATGCAGCAAATTTTGCATGGAGAAGAGCTCCACGTGCAATAGAGAATACCTTAAGAATGTCTATATATATTTGAGTGCTATAAATGGGTTATATATATTTACATACTGGTCTTCATTGGTCTCAGCTCTAAAAGGAAGGTAAGACAGCTCCTGGCGTAACAATGGAACCGGATCTAACGACAACTTGTAACCATCGAAATTGTTTCGTATGAGATTCCGATCAGGACGCAACTCCACAATTTTAGCCATTTCAAAATATTTATTTCAGCATACGAACAAAAAAAAATTATCAAAAATGTAATTTCAGCTATTTAATGCATGACGTTTACGTAAATAACAAATAAACTCATGCTTCTGCCGTGTTTAGCACTTTTTTTATTTTGGTGATGCCACTTCCAGTTATTAAGAGTGTTAAAAATTGCTTCATTTACCAGAATAGAAATATGTAGTGTGTAATGACGTAAATTTTTAAACGTTACAAAAATTACTATCAATTTTGGCGAATTGAAACATTATAACCCTTTGATAGTTCGCAATTTACCAAATTATGTGGTTTCATTACTAATCATTACAGTTTTTTTCGCTATCCTTTCTTATCAAAATCTGCCACTCTGGTTGAGCAGATCCAGTTTGACATTTTATTTCATTTAGTTTTTCTTTATTTTGATTCCCGACTTTCATTGCAGTATCCTTTTTATCCAGAACCTATAGGAAATGGGTGGGTAAATTTTCAGGCATTCTGTATGATTCTCTGTTTGCCTTCATATCATTTATGTGTGGCATTTGGAAAAATTAGTTTGATTAGAAAATCTAAACGTATAATTTTAAACTTTGTGAAAAATTTGTGTTAAATGCTTTCAGTGAATGTAAATTTGAATAAGTTGTAAACAAAATTTGAAAAATTCGGAAAAAATTTGAAGCAAATAATAATTTAAGTGTGCATACATACATATATAAAAAGTTTTGGTTTAAAGGACTTTTTATTGCATCGCTTGTGTTGACGCCTAGCGTTCCCTATATTGTTACTTAAATAATACACACCGCGTCAATGTAAAAGAGGAATAAAAACAAGAAGTCCAAATTACGTCCTTGGCTAGAAAATGGGTAAGTTATAAGTAAATAAGGAAACGAAATGCATAAAAGCGTAGCTAATAATCGTGGTGCAGGATGTGTACAATTACTAAACTGAAAGACGTGTGTGTACGTTAATGGCGAAGGGGGGTGGTGCTGGTGTGACAATTGCATTATGAGCAAATTTGGCGATTTCACACCGTTGTCTTGTGCTTTCCGCATTCCGATTTGCCAAAACGGGCAAGTATTGGAAGCTTCGGATTGGAAACAAACGCGCTTAGTGCCTTGAGCCGCAGCTTCTGCTGCAGACGTGCTTTTGTTATTTCGCTTGTGTTGTTTTTATTCACATTTTACCTGTCACATTTGTGTCTCATGTATTTATCAATTTTTCTAAATAATTTACTGATATCCTTTAATAATATCCTGTAATTTCTATTTTCGTTGCTTTCATTTCTTGGAATATCTTGTTGGGTTTCGTGCTCGTAGAAAGCATCGAAATGCTTAAAGCACTTTACGACTTCCAGGCGGTCTATCCCAAAACGATAAGCTTCGATGAAGGAGAATACTTCATACTATACCAGACTTCAGCACGTCAACGGAACTGGTGGCAAGTAGTTAGCATGAAAGGCAATATTGGTTTTGTGCCATCAAATTACGTAATGAAAATTAAGGTAAGTCTCTCAATGTTTTGTTTGCCTCAATTGCAACATTAAAAGTGGTCGGTTTTATGCTTAAAAGTACTTACAAAAATATGCGGAATAATAATTAATAGCAGTCGGCTATTGTGTAACTCAAATTTAGGGGTGTGGTCAGTACAATTCATTGCAATATTTACAAAGTTTAAGTTTGCCAACTCTATTCCTAGTGACGTAGGTCGGAATATTCACTTTATACGTAAAAGAAAAGTTTTATTTCGATTGTTGAGGAAATAAATACTTAAAGTATTAAAACTAAAGCAGAAGTTGGTAATAAACTTCAGATATTGTGCGGAATTAATCATAAATCCTTAAATTTGGCATTTAATGTATAAATATAAATCTTAATAGAATTAATCAGAGTGTATTGTTCATGCTCAATCTAAACCGCCGTAAAATACATAAGAGTAGAAACAATATCGTTTATTTCGACATATTTAACAGAGTTTTAGTTACATAGTCTTTGATTTGATTTATTAAGCTTTTGAGAAAGTGATTATAGCTTATAGAGCTACTCATAAAACTACAATAACAGTAAATTTCTTTTCATGATTGATTATGATGCATTTCAACGATTTCAAGTCACTAAGTTGTTTATTTATAGACCATACAGATCAGAATTAAAAACAAATAGCTATGTTATTATCGAATTTTTTTTGACTAATCTGGAATATTTTGAAACTGTAATATTTGTTAGCTACAACTGTACAACGTTATTCTAAGATTACATAAGGGCATTTAAAATTTTCAAGCACATCCTTCCAAATTTGTCAGAAATCATTTTCTTATGCAACGAAGCAACACAACTGCCTTTATCGCTGCACTTCTGTTTGATTTGGTATATCATATTTATATAGCGGGTATATTAACAAAACATTAGAGAAATTACTTTTAAAGGTCTGCAGATTCAATATTTGAAAAAAATCTGAAAACTAAATCAGTAGCCCCTATTTTCAAAATTTTTTCAAAAGGAGTTATCAACTTAAATGCAAAAACAGGTCTTATGAAAATAATCCCATGACATCACAACTTGAATCTCTAATGCAGTAACATATTTAAAAATATCTTGTAAATGGTGTCCATTTTGTATTATATCCTTTTCGCTTCATATGTATAGTATATTGATGAATTCTTTAATTATACTAATATACTTTTCACTTTTACTTCGCCCTTTGTGCGGTTTCCGTTTGTACTTTAATGCTTGTCACTACATAGCATGGCCATTGAAGTACGAGTAGCGTTTGTATGTGTGTACATACTCAACCTATAATTACCCATGAAGATTGCCTCTTTTTCGGATTTACTTGTCTCCCGGAGCTGCAGCTGCTGGTGATAGCATCAATGAGTGGATAAAATGCAACTTGAGGGTTATTGACACCAATATTCGGGCAAAATGTCTTTGTAAAGCATTATAGCGCTACTCTATAGCGTTGCATATATTTATAATAGTGCTTAGATATGTATGTTTGAGTATGTGTACATACAGGGTGGCTGATGAATTTTGCTACATTAAGAAACTCAAATAATTTTTTTTTTAGTGTATGGAATTCATTTTTCTTTTATTCATGTTAAAGCTCATTCAATTTTATTAAATATAGCTTAATTAGTTTTAAAAATAATGGAATTTAAATGTTCATTACTGCTTGGAGAGTTGAGACAGGAATAGCCGCAATTSTTTCTCGAATGGATTGCCTTAGTTCATTCAAATTTGTTGGTTTTGCTTTGTAGACTTCCTGTTTGCAATAACCCCACAAGAAAAAGTCAAGTGCAGTAAGGTCAGACGATCTGGGTGGCCAACGGAATGTGGAGTTTCTGGATATCAGCTTATTAGGAAATTTTCGTCGCAATTCTGTAATAACAGGTTGGGCTATGTGAGGAGGAGGAGCTGCACCATCTTGCTGAAAACACACAGAGTTGAAAGAAATTCTCATTCGGCGTAATTCTGGATAGAAAAACTCTCTCAACATGCTCAAGTAATGGTCTCCAGTAACCGTAACGGTGTGACCGTTTTCTTCGAAGAATGCAGCGTGATGAAACTGCACGCCACAGTGTGACACGAAGTGGATGCAACTCCATCTCATGGAGTATCTGTGGGTTGGAAGCACTCCATATTCGACAATTTTGTTTGTTTATGTTGCCGTTTAAATCGAAATAGGCCTCGTCAGACATGAAAAGACAGTTCAACATGTTTCCATCCTCTTCCACCATTTGAAGCATCTTTTGGCAAAATTCCAAGAGAATCGGCAAGTCTGCAGCGTTCAGTTTGTTGCCCATTTGAATTTTATATGGGAATAAGTCCTAATCTTTGTGCATAATTGACTGTAATGACTGTCTGCTTACACACATTTGAGCAGATAAGCTTCTTGTCGAAACACGTGGATTGTTTTGTATGGCAGCAGCTACAGCAGCGATTGTKTCYTCCGTTCGAACTGAAGGGTTTCGATGGTAAGGTCTTCTGTTGACTGTCCCATGCTCGGCAATATTGTTTACAAGTCTCAATATGATCCATCTGCTCGGAGGATTGCCGCCAAACTTGCGCCTATACTCTCCTTGAACCTTGGCAAAGTGGGTTTCTACATCAATTCTAAGGGTTTAAGGGAACAGAAAATTCCAAAAAAAAAATAAAAAATGTTGCAAAAAGATTACCTTACTGACCCCTTAAATAAAAAGTAGCTTGAAATATTTTGTTGGACCTTCTTTGATTGTATGACAGCGTTAAGACGCGGTGTCATAGAATCGATTAACTTTTGAAATATGTACTTCAAGAGTTATGCCATTGTACTAGACAACCTCCAAGATTGCGTCAGGCTTTTCCAAAGTTCTGGGTGTCTTCTTCGTTGTTTTAACTTTAAAAATATGCCAAAGGCTTTCGATTTTTGATCAAAGTTTTGATTGGTCAGTCCTATCGAGTTTTTCTCACTTTATCCAAACATCTTATTGTTCAAAAAACCGTACATACCTAAAAGTTTGGTTATCTTTCATAAAATAATTAAAAAAATAAATAAATTTGAAGGATGCCACTTTTCGGCATACGACATGACCAGAGTTTAAAATTGTACCACACTTCTACCCGTTTGAGGTTCCATGAATTACTTCCAAATCTCTAACATCATAATAACTAAAGCGCATATTCGGGATACGGCTTGGCTGCTGCGGTCATTCCTTCGCCGTAAAACGGTCGAAAAAGCTCTGTTTATTTAAGTTTCGTTTAAGTTAAGTAGTATACTGAAAAGATTTTGGTATATATTGTATATGGTTTGATCGGACGATCTTTTCGAGCAACTAGTTGTCAACAACATCATTATTTACCTTTCCTTGCCCCATAAAAGCATATACATACATACATCTACATACACTAGCTGCTGTTTCCACTGCTGATGGATGGCAAATTGACAGTAACAGCTGTATTTTTGGGTTTTCCGTCATTTAAATTTAGTCTGTCTGAGTTAATCTAGTCTGTTCTCTTCTATTTATTTACATTTAATTTGCAAACAATATTTTTTCCACAAAAAATTCGCAATAAATTTTGTATTGATTTACTTGTATCCGTATACTAAAGAAGTGGTTTGCGAGCAACATAATATTCCTTAACTATTATAATTAGTACTTAGTACTTGCTTTGTTGTCACATGTGTGACCTTATTCAATTAACATACCCTTATACATACATATGTATGTATTTATGTATGTGTGCTGCCATCAATCTAATTTGCAAAATCTAGGTATGTATTGTCAATGAGGGCGTGCGCGTCGTCATTTTCATCCAAGTCCCCATAGGAAATGTGAACCTCAAATGTGGTTTTCCAAATTGTAGAAAAGGACTTCAAACCAATACACCGAATAGTACTTAATACTTTTGTTTAAAGAAAAATGTAGTCTTTCCCCGTTGCTGTTTAACTACTATATCTCGAAGCTCCCCCAACCACCGGAGAAATTTCAATCACCTTGTGCGATGATGATTGTACGATAATGACGTTGGGAAATGGAATTGATGGCATGTGCTCAGAAGTTAACGGCTATCTCTCCGATCTTTCTCTCTTTCCTGCCAGAATACTGCACTCCGGACAACGACGGGATGTCTTTTGATGTCTCCCATTGAACACCTCCACAGCGAGACGCTTATGCTTCCTGTAAATCAGCATAATGAACTCCTATCCAAACAGTTTCTGCCAAGATGTTTCCGAAGGAATCACCCTTGCAGCCATCTGCTTGGAGCGGAACCGCCTCCCAGGAGCATCAAAAGGTCCTTCCTTGACTACGTCGATGACGTCGTACAGTACGCCGACCGGACTTTGAACGCAACTGACTTTCGACAGGTACTGACCGCCATGCACAGTGGAACCATCAACACCTTCACCGACTTCCTTCCCGTGAATGGCGTTCTTGGAGTCAAACCACCAACTGTAGCAGACGAAGAGCACCAGTTGCCGCGAGAAACGCGAGTGACCCTAGCGCAACTTCGTTCTGTATATTGTAGCAGGTTAAACTCCTACTTATCCAGAATTGACCCAGACATATCCAATGTATGTCCTGCATGCAATGAGTCCTCGCGTGATACTGGCCACCTCTTTGCGCACCCTACTAACCCTACTCATCTAACACTCTCTTCCCTTTGGTCCGACCCCGTCGAAACAGTACGTTTCCTGGGCCTCCCGTTAGATGATCTCGACGACAACGCAAATGACCCTTAGCTTCCAAATGGGGATTAGAAAACCGTTAAAACAACAACAACAAGAGCTTGAGTTGCCGCGAAAACCGAGAGTGACCATTGACGCAGCGACGTGAGATCCACATGCAAACCTCAAAGTTTTCTAGAACTGCCGCTCTGCTGTGGTCAGAGAAGAGTTTGAAGCTCATTCCTACACAGTTGGTGTTAACACAAAGGAATACGAAAAAAAAATACTTTTTTTGATTGACGCTTTGGAAGCTGAAATTGATATGTAACGGAGTGAGCTGAGTGCCTGACTGCCCGCATTGAATTTTTTGTTGTTGTAAAAGCTATTTCAACCTTTTTAATTGGTAATATTAGACATTGTCCTCCATAATATTTATTGGTAGATCTAGAGACAACCTATCGGACTTGAATTATTGGGAAAAGAGTATTAGATGAATGGGTTTGAATGAACATGAGCACAGAAGTCATGTTGTGCATCCAAAACGTGTTTATTTGACCGCTAAGGTTAGGTTAGGTTAGATGGCTGATCTAGAGGGATCTCACGTGGACTGCTATATGCAGTCCTTTATGAAGAAAAAAGAAAATAAGAACTACTGTGTTGGATCTTATATTTCCATTCCCTTCAGTTCGGTGAGATCTTGGCGCTCCTAGGTGCTTGAGTCTTGACCTCTCAAACGCGGGACAGTCAAGAAGGAAGAGTTGAGTTGCTTCCAACTCATCTTCCATACAGCTTCCGCAGATGGTGTCTCTAAGATTCCCAACCTTACTGTGGAGACGCCAATAGGACAATGGCCTGTTAAACAGCACACACTTAGGAAGAGGCAAGCCTCACTCAGAGCAAAGAGAACACTAGATCTCTAGCGACCTTGGGACAAAAGGCTTTTGCGACAGCGCATGTACCGATGGTGGCCCAACGAGGGCCAAGCTTCCGCGAAGCCCAGCTATCTTATTATAAAGTCATTCGATGCAATTGTTAACGAGGATGATTAGTTCAAGTATCGCCGCTCTGCTGATTTATCTGCTAGGTTATAAATAAGAAGAATGCTCTGCGAATAAAGTCAAGTGGCTGTTTCCGAAGTGCCCCGTCCGAAACACATACATGTAGTTGTTGTTGCAGCGGCAGAAAACATTCCTGAATTTATTTCGAGGCATGGTGTCAAGATGACAGTCCTCGGTTGGATAAAACTCCGAGTTCATTCCGGTTACTGAGACCCGACCGCCGTGGGAAAGGTTTACATGTAGTATATGAAAGCGGTCGGCTTTTCTCAGCTATGTATGAAAATAATATTATTTGTTTTATTTCGAGATTAAAAATCCATAAAATACTTTTGGAGAATACTGCCGAGTTTGCAATCCTTGGTTAGAGAAAAATTCGGGTCTGTTCTATTTACCACTGTTACTAATCTTTTCCTTCGCTTTATTCACGATCATTTGGAAAATACATCGGTTTTTTTTAGTTTGATAAAATTATTTACTTAAAAAAGGTGTTCGAAACTAACCTGAAGTACACTAATGCCTCACTACAAATTTTTCTCCACGTCATTTTGAAGGTGGAACCGGATTTTCTCATCAGTTTCCTCAACTCCTCAATTGAGTCACTTGAAAAGTCAAAAGAAACGGAAATCAATGGAATTATGCCCAAAGAAGAGCTATTGGAGCGGCTGCGCGAGAAGAAAATGGCCATGGAGAGAGTTTACTTGGTAAATTTAATATGAACCTAAAAAGTAGAATGTAATATTTTACATATGTATATGTATATTTGCATTGCAGGACTATTCAGAACGTGACTGCGACTCTTCCTTGTCTTTTTCGCAAAGTATTAGCGAGAAAAATTGCTCCAAATCGCATAATAATCGTGCCACTTCCGCTTCAGCGCAACCAACACCGCACAGTCCACTAAGTCCACCGCGTTCAAATCGCTTGGATAGCAATAAAAAATCGATGTCTAGCCCAGCTGTCGGTATTGTGTTGCCACAAATTATGCAAGAATCAAATAGCATGGGCACCATGCAGATACAGACACAGCAATCACAACAGCAACAGCAGCAGCAGCAGCAGCAACAACAACAGTCACAGCAATCGCAAACACAAACACAAAGCAGCAATAAAGCCAGTGATATCACACAGGATAACAGTGTCACATCAGAGCCTTCAGAGACTACCACAACTACAACGACAACAAGCGAAGATGTGGTGACCACATACAAAGAACCTAGTCAACGTGAATCGCCCGGCCAAAGCCAGAGCCATGCCAAACAGAATGGCAGCGAGCGAAAATGTGAGGCGGGGGATGCTAATGGCAGTGGCGGTGGCGGTAATAGCTGCAACGGTGCTGCTGTTACCGGCAATGGTATAACTGGCGGCACAAATACCTTAACTGATACCAGTGAGCATTTCAATGATGAGAAGTTCGCTGAGAAATCCGAAGGCAGTGAACCGGGCAGCGATGGACGCGACGTTGCCACGTTGGCGAACGATGGACGTGGTGATTTTACCAACAGTGTTGAGAATAGCCAAGCGCTGGATAGTGAGGAATTAGCTGTGCAGCAGGCTTTGCCAGCAGGTGCTTCCGGTACAACTATAGTTACCACAAATACTGCGGCATATGGCGTGACACGCGCTGATTTGAAGGTGGAATCCTCTGATGTTTATCAAATTGTAGATATAATAAGGCGTAATACGAATTTAAGCTTCGATTTGTCATGCGAAGCTTTACGCGTCGTCCTCACTAGTCTAGAGCAATTATATAACGGTGCCATAAATCCATACTTAGAGGCTGTGGCGATACATGTAACCGACAAAGTGGAGACACCAAAAGCCTTGTTGGGCATGACGCATGACTCGAAGCGTCTACAGTACATATTCTCGCAGCTGGCGGATTGTAAAAACGATACGGAGCAACGTTCGTGGATGTTGTACGAAGATGAGGATGATATAATACAATTTCTCGAAGAACTAGTGGAAATTTTGGTAATTATCTTGCACATTTACAAAAAAAACTTTAAAAACACTTTTTTCTTTTAGAATAACGCCGACGAAAATATTAGTTGTTATGAAATGTCGTGCGACCAGTACCAGGTGCTTATTAATCTAGTGCAGTATTATCAAATGGAAACGCGTTGGCCTATTAAACAGCTATTGCTGAAGACTTTTACCGCTGCTTGCCATTTGGACCATATTATAGTCGATATTTTACTGACATCTGTATTGCCATTAGAAATTGTGAGTAGAAGTGTTTTTTGCGTTTGTTGAAATTTCCATGCTAATTTCACACAAATTTCACTAATTTACTATATTTCAGGTAGAAGATATGAAAACCAATTTTGCCAACTTAGATAAATTTAAGAAACTTGTCAAAATGTTAACAATCGTCTTTTCATTAGGTCAACCAATGCCAGTAAATCATCAAGGTGCGTAAAAAAGCAGTTAACGATTAATCCGATTACGAAATCCCAAAATTCATAATCCCCCAAAAAAAAAGAAAAAATTACTTTTTCCAATCCAACAGCGGGTTATCATCAGTTCTCTCGATTAAAACAATTTTTGTAGAGGCGGCTTTCGGTTGCTCTTTAAAAATAGTCCTGGCTAATTGTTGTTGTTGTAGCGACAGTTTTCTGTCTAGTTGACAGTCTTTGGACGAATAAAAATCCGGGTCCGTTCATGTTCTGCAGACCCGACTATCATGGGAACGGAGTTTCGGCCGATCCAACAGCGGGGTATCAGCAGTTTTTACGCTACGAACTCGTTTTGTAGTCGCGGACTTCGTCTGAGCTTTAAAAAATTGTCCTGGCCGATCCAACATCGGAGTGTTCTGTTGTTGTAACGATTATCCCGCTTCTGGTTAGGGTTAAATATTAAATGTTGTTGTTGCTGTTGTAACGAGCACTTTGTTTGGGTAAAAATGACATGTTAGCCGTCATCGGGGTCATTTAACGGGAGGCCTACAAAAAGCAGCAGTATCGACGGGTTCGGACCAAAGGAAGAAAGGGGTTAAGTGAGTCAGCTCCATGGGGCTACAAAGAAGCGATTGATATAGTGCTGGAACTCTTTACATGCAGGATATAAGTTGGGTATGTCACGGTCTATTCTGGATAGGTAGGAGTTTAACCTGCTACAACACCTAGAACGAAGCTGCGATAGGGTAAAAAAATAAACAGTCATCGAAGTCACTTAACGGTACGCCCATTAAACGTGTTTTTTCAACGGGTTAGGACCAAAGAGAGTGGGGAGTTAAGAACTCAGTGCATGCAGTGTGCTTCTAACCTGGGCGGTCGTTAGTTTTTTCGCTAAGAACTCCTTTTTGGGGATATACATTTGTGGATTTCGAGTTAGGGTATTTTAGTTGAATGATTTTGTGTTTGGGAACTGAATTTTGGAGGTTTCAAGCCTCTCTATAAAAATATAATAACTTTTAGTAAATGTTCATAACTACAAATTATTGCTTTCAGATTATCTTGGTGTGCACTTTGCGAGTTTCCTTTTAGAAATCGTTGAAGGCAACAATCCGGAAACTCTAGTCGATATGGTTATATCCTTAATATTGGCATTCAATCTGCAATTCACCGACTTTTCGCAAAATGTTGTCGTTGAAGCCATGCAAAGTTTGCCCAGCGCTAAAATATTCACTGAGAAAATACTGTTATTATTAAATAGAGAAGGTAACTATAATATTTTCTTTCATATATCCATATTAACTCGTACATTTTACGCGCTTTGCAGAAGATCCAATTAAGTTGTTGAAACACTCAACGGATACCATGAATTCAGTGCTGAAAATGTTTATCGATATCTTCAGCAATCCCGATACGGCTGGCATGTTTTACACGAATGACAACAAAGTGCTCATTGATATATTGGTGCGACAATTGTCCGATTTGTGTGCCGGTAATCCGGTAAGTTCCCAAAATTACATTGTATATGTTAGTAAAATAGCTGGGTGCATCTAACGGTTCTTTGCAATACCTCGAGATAGACATATAGTTGGATATCAACTTATCAAATTTGACCCGGACGATGCGCTTAAACCGAATCGATAAATACTTCTTTCAAGTCATCGAAAACTCAAGTTAAAAAAGTAAAAATCATTCTGTTGGCATCAGAGAGATAGCTGAGGATGTCAACTTATTTTACCGATTCAAGAAATTTTGGTTAATGGTTTGGGTGTGAGTCGTGTCAATGCTAAATTCGTACCGAAAGGCCGGAATCTTTTGCAAAAACGGCGTCAAGTAGAGGCCGCAAAAGAGATTCTGTAATGAATGACGTCAAAACTGCCAACCAACCAAACAACAATGTTGCAAATGGCGCTTCAAAAATGACCTGACATCTGAAAAACCAAAAGCCACTGAAGGCACAAGTCAAGATTTATAACAATTTGTGGAGAACATTTGACTAATCGTTACATGCTTGTACTGGCTCATGACCCTTGGACATAGTAAAAAGCGTGAAAATGTAGAGTCCGGTCCGGCAGTCCGGTTCAAATTTGATCAAAGCGATTATGCGAATTTATTTACCAGTGATAGTATAACATTTCAAGTTAATCATATATCAGAAACTATTTCTCGGATAAACTTTATATTTTCGCATAATATTTTCAAATATGGAATATGTACATTCGATAAAGTTTTTGAAATTCACAACCCTATGTGTTGTTGTAGTATTAGCGCTTATCTAGTCCTCGTTAAGTTGGTAGGGTTCAGATAAGTTGTCGTTCAGATCATCCAACCCAGGTAGGCCCAGAAAACGTGCTGTTTCGGCGGGGTCGGATCATAGGCAGAGGGTTTTAAAATTTGTAATGTTAGCAGCGCATGGAAAGAGGTGGTCATATATTTGATATGTCAGGGTCGATTCTGGATAAGTAGGAGTTTAACATGCTACAGTATCCAGAACGAAACTGCGTAATAATCTCTCGATTTTCGCGGCTACTCGAGCTCGTCGTCTGCAGTGGAGATCTCACTGTGCAGATGTTCGATCGAAGACATCAGGAGGCATGTAGTCCGGTGTGCAGTGTTCTCACATGTCTGTAGCTTCCTCGTCTGCATTTCACTGAATCTCGGCGACAATATTGGTGCGGCGTAGTTAAGGACCGGCCGGCCGATTGCGTTGTATTTTGCGAACAACGTTTTTTGTCTTTTTTTTGTTGCTCAGACTCAGGCTCAGACTGTCGAATGTCTTACCTAAAATCGTAGGGTTATTGGCAGTCGGGATTTTAACGCCATCGACTGCGATGTTAATGTGAACTTCTTCGCTCAGTTAGTGAATAGTTCAATTACCACAACAGCAGGTTCTACGTTACCAGGATTGACCCTTATTTTATCCGGCTTCTTTGTTAGAGATCTAGCGGCGTTACCGGAATTGATCCGGATTTTATATGGCCAAGGGTTGTACTTTCGGATATCTAATTTCGTTGTAATCGGTGAGTTTTAGATCTGATCTAAGTGCTGTTATTGTAGACTAAGTGGTGTCACAAAAAAAAAAAAAAAAAAAAAAAAAAACAATTTCGAAGGATCATAGGGAGTGGGTGTCATATGCGACCTTTTTTCAGCTATGGCTTAATATTATTTGTACAATTTACGAGAGTTGTAGTGGCAGAAAACATTCCTGAAGTAATTTCGAGGCATGGTACCTAGTTGACAGTCCTTGACCGAGTAAAAATCCGGCTCCGGTCATGGGAACGGAAGAGAATATCTAGCGTTTGGTTATGGTCTTACTTATTCCCTACTTCTTTTAACTTCAGCTGTCGTTTCTTCTTACAGATGCGTCGTTGCTACTTGGAACTATGTCGACGCATTCTACGCAATACTAATTATGCTGAGCACCAGCATCGCAAGCAGGACTTTATGAAAATATTCACACGCATATTTTGCGAAGAAACCGAGTGCAGCGCTTCGGATCAACAGTTAGTGCGCGAGATCGCTAACGAATTTCCACAATTATTCAAAGCCTAAAGGCTGGAACGGCATTTATGGTAGGGTAGGTTGGGAGGAGGAGAAATGCATTTCGATGACTGAGCTAATTGTAGTAAATCCTTAGTATGACTATATTATTTACTAAAAACCGTAACACAAAATTTAACTTTTATTTTGTAAACAATGCTATTTTGTAATGGAAATTTTAATGCAGCTTTTACTTTAAGTGTGTTTGTCGCTTCTTCATTTTTTGTACATTTACTTTCGATAAATTCGAATTCTCATTGTTAATAATAACAATAAATTAACAAAAAAAAAATTATTTATAAAAAATTTAATTAATTAATTTATTTATTAGATTCAAGTATTTATACATTAGTATTAAAAGCATACCTTATTAAGTACTTTGTTAAGTGCGAAATGTTCTAAACGGCAAAGAAGCATACGCTCACTCAGCTGGCAACGCCACACCAGCGCATAACAAACATTTGTTTGTGCGCATGTGGCATGTTAACGGCGCAACAAACAAAAAATAATAATAAACTTAAGCAATTAGTTAAGCAGAAATATTGAAACAGTTTGCAATATTTGAAATTATACCTGAAATATTATAAAAAATAATAATTATAAAAAATAAGTATATTTAATATCGATGTAACATTATATGAGCCCTCAGTGTGCACGCACTCATTCGCAAGGCTAAGTGGTTGTTCCAGGAACAAAGCATCAAATGAAATACTCAATGATTTCTGTTTGTCAACAAGAAAGCGCGCAGCCAAAGCATAAATTGCACAATAAACTGAAAGTTTTAAACGGTATTTTATGCGCACCTCGTTAAATATTAATTGTTTTCAAAATACTAAATTCTAACAAAGATCTATATTAGCTTTTTAAAATAACAACAACTAGTCCGACATACAAATATTAATTTAATTTTTTTTTTATTCATAAGAAAACTTACTTTAAGCACAAATATTTAGATCAAAATGTAATCGAATTGGCGTTTGCCGCGTGCAGCAACACATTTTTACCTTCTAAAAACAATTCTAATGCAGAACAACGTAACGAATAAACGAAGTTAATAAATATATACAAATATAACAAAAACAAAAAAAAAAAAGAAAACAACCATTTTAAACAATACCATGTTAAATTTGACTATATAATCTATATAATGAAATTAAATAAATGACCATATATTAAATATATATACGGAATATGTTATAGCCAATACTGAGAAATACTGAGAAACTGCAAATTGACAAATTACATATGCATATGGTATAATGAAAATACTATTTATTTAACTTAAAAAAATTTTCTAAACAGTTCTCGATCAGAAATATTAAAAAATATAAACAGTAAAAGTAGCCTAAAAAAAATTGAAAACATTTACAGTAAAACTGTACTTAACCACACCGTGTAAACATTTTTTAATGCATTCAAATCAAATACAACATTTATTAAAAACCGTAAATTTTAAAATACTGGCATTCCAAATTTATGGCACAATACATTTTGTTTATTGGAATTTATCAAACTTTTTGGTATTTTCGTAGTGTTGAAAAAGTTAAGCCTCAGCTGCCCTTGTCAAGGTAGTATTTACCATATATATGTATGTAAAAATTATTGTTATCTATTGTATATATTAAGTTTGTTGTTATATGTACTATATGACTGTTTTTAAATCAATTCAAAAGACATCCAATGGAAAAATGTGTTCAATTCATTTTTGAAAACATCTACACATACACTAGCACATTTTAATTCGAGATTAAATCAAAAGTTTTAAGGTGAAAGTAATAAAATCATTGTTTTATTTAATAAATCGTTACGGTGTAGTTTATGTGGCGGATGGAGTCATGTGTAGAAGTTCACGCAAGTGAGGAATGTGACTGCCATTCACTGGGGAGTGGCTAGAAATGATTCTTTTACATATTATCAAGCAGTTCACGGCTTCCGATCCTAGACCAAGCATCCTCTGGCTAGCCAAAGAACATCCGTCCGAAGGCGAGCTAAAGTGAGAAGGAAAAACATCCCCTCCGGGTTGTGGGATGGATTTGGGACCCACCACATAAAAAACGCACCCAGTGTAAAAAAAAAGAACAGTCAACCTAGGATGAGACGACCTTTCGATGACGACCATAGTAAACAAATTAAGGATAACGATTTGAGGGTATGCACCTGGAATGTTCGGTCCCTTAATTGGGAAAGTGTCACTGCACAGCTGGTTGATGTCCTCGTTAGAGTGAAGGCTGACACCACCGCCGTTCAAGAAATGCGATGGACAGGATTAGGACTGCGGAGAGAAGGCCCTTGTGGCATTTACTTCACACCAGACAGCCAAGCGATTTTCTTCTCGACTTGCACTCCTGCTCTCTGAGAGCACTCGTCAACAACTCGGTATAAGGGAACCGTGGGACAGCATTTGAAACTTCTTAAGTCCAGCTGTAATCGAAACCATTGGTTTTTGGGAAACGCAAAAGAACAGCTGGTACGACGAGGAGTGCCGTGTCGCAGCGAAAAGAAAACAGGCTGCTTACTCCGCAACATTACGATCGACCACAACACGCGCGGATAGACATTTGAAGACAGAAAAAGAGAGAGGCCCAAATGCGTAAGTGTGAAGAGCTTGAAAGCTGGCCGACAAGGGTAATGCTCGAAAATTCGACGCAATTTCTACTCTTGTACTGAATTTATAAAGGGAACAATTCTCCAGCCTGCTGAATGGTAGTGAAAGCGTTACGCCCGAACCCGATTCCCCAATCGATGACGATGGAGCAGACTTTCCATTGCCCAACCCTGAAGAGGTTCTAATAGCAATTACCTATCTGAAAAACAACAAAGCGGCGGGGGCCGATGGATTGCCGGCCGAGCTATTCAAACACGTTGGCGAAGAACTGATAAGGAGCATGCATCAAAGTCTTTGTGAAATATGGTGCTCAACGATTGGAATTAAAGTGTTCTCTGTCCAGTCCACAAAAAGGGGATACCACAATCTGCGCCAATTACCTTAGGATAAGTCTCCTAAACAACGCATATAAGGTTGTAGCGAACGTATTGTGTGAAAGATTAAAGTCCATCGTCAACAAACTGATTGGACCTTATCAGTGTGTCTTTAGACCTGGAAAATCAACAACCGACCAGATATTCACCATGCGCCAAATTTTGGAAAATATCCGTGAAGAACCTCTCCCAGCCGTGCGATAATAAGCGAAGCTTCAGACAAGGACACTCCCTATCGTATGACTTCTTTAATCCATAGCTGGAGAAAATATTTCGAGCTGCAGAATTTAATCGAGCAGGAACAATCTTTTGTAAGAGTGTCCATCTGCTGGCCTATGCCGATGATATTGAGATCGTTGACCTCAACAATCCCGCCGTTAGTTCTGCAGCGAAGCGAGAAAGCAACAAAGCAAATGGGTCTGGTAGTGAACGAGGGCAAGACGAAATATCTCGAGTCATCAAAAAAATAGTCATCGCATTCTCGTCAGTCTAGCAATACCGCTTTGGACATGCTCCCAAACCCAGTAAGCAGTGGAAGCCTAAAATTTAAGCTTCTTTCTGTTCACTAGCAGATGTTGAAATAAAATACAGTTTTTTCTTTTGTTTTGTGTGTTTTCCAATTCTCAAAATTGCACTTTTTTGTTTATTTCGAATGATTTGTTATAAGGCATAGGTACAACCAATACAAGCACTTTTAAAATCATAATAAAATATATTTTTATAATTACACTGTTATTTACGCTTACGATTTCGATTTACAAAAAAATTTCACAGCTTTTCTTAAACTTTGTTGGGAGACAATACAATTTTATTGCTTTCATTAAAATTTTCTTATTCTGGTTTTAGTTATTCTTTTTTTTTATATTTAATTTATGGCGCATACATTGGTATGCATGAATATTCTGGTTGCTGGCAAAAAACATTAATTTTGAATTTTGAAATAAAATATCAAAATAATGACAACAAGTCGAAGTTTAAACTAATAAATGCACTTGACTCTGGTACTTAGCTTTTCTTGTTTTAAATCAATAACTTAAACGAATATTAACTATAAATGAATGCTTTTGCCAGTTGCAACAGACGCGTATACATACGTACAAATGTCTTTACTACATATACCTGAGAAGTTGCTGGTTCAATAGCTGCCCAAAAATTTCAAGGCAAATATGCACAATAGAGAAAAATCTCCTTCAGTGACTTGCTGTAGCCACAAATTGGCACAGTAAACTAAAACTTAATTTCTCAGCATGCATTAGGGATGCACATCATTTATATATAATATTTTATAGGTTTTTCTGCGGAAAATGTACGAAAAAATAATGCCTATAACATTTCCTAAATTAAACTAAATTACCTTACCCTAAACATGTAAAATAAATAATATTAGAAACTTAAGAAATTAATACGTAAATATGGATATGGAGTCTTTAAATTATGAAAGGACAAGCTCAGCGAGCTTCTCCAGTATAGATTTCTACCTTCTACACACTTAAACTATTAGTACGACTGCATAGATATATGCATGTGTGTGTGTGTATAGTGCGTCAAAGTCGGATGAAATACATCACTGACTTTGGCGCACCGTACGACCAAAACATAAATGCAATGTTTGGCTAGAAAACTTAAAAAAAAGTGGAGCTTTGCCATTTCCCGTAAAAACATAAAGGTAATAGTGGATAAAATACGCGTTAGCGCTGCTTTTGACCATACCAGCTAAGCGAATAATTAAATTATAGGTAAATAGTGATAGTAAAGCTATTTCTCTCAAAAGAAGAAAACTTAAAACTATTAATACACTTTCTTTTGCTAAGAATCCAACAACAGTAGTTGCAGGATTTCGAAGACGTAGCACCTGAGTGTGTACTATTAATCAATGACCACCGCCCAGGGGTGATCTATTTTCCCATATTGAATTGCTGTTAGTGTTTCACGTATCCATTCGTGTATGGGCTTCTCCTGCTCCATGGTGGGTATGTAGAGATCGGTGCCCAAATAATTGATGCGATTAATGGGGCTGACCACACACGCTGTACCAGTGCCAAACAGTTCGAGCAGCTGTGGGTGAGAGTGAGAGTATTTAGTATCTTGTGTACAGCATAAATTGGTGGATGTACTTACTCTTCCTTGATTGAGCAGCTCGCAGACTTGTGCCATGGTGATCACTTCTTCGCGCACCTCAAATTTACCCAATTGTCTGGCTAACGTGAGTATCGAGTCTCTGGTAATGCCGGGCAGAATGAGACCGCTGAGTGGTGGTGTGACGAGTACTTTCGCTGTAAAAAAATGTATGACGTCACGTCAGCGTTTGTTAAAGCAACTTATTGTTATTAGGAGCATTTTTTTATATGCATTTGCGCTTCGGCCAGCTGTTTCTACGACAGTAAAGAAGAAGAAGACTTGTATTTACCTCCATTTTCGTTGACGTAGAACATGAAAATGTTCATTGTGCCGACTTCGGTGAGTTGATGATCCTCGCCGTACAACCACAATACTTGTTGCAGCCCTTTTTGGGCAGCCTCTTTTTGTACGTTGATGGTGGGTGCGTAGTTGGAGCCCATTTTGCGATTGCCAACACCGCCGGGCCACGCTCTGTACAAACGTATATATAAATTTATATTTAGTTTGCGTACACTTTTGGGGGTTTTTGAGCACACTCACCTTGTGTAGCGCGGATCTGCGAGCAGCGAGACGGCGCCATCACTGTCAGACTTAAAGTAGCAACCCACGGGGCTGAGTATTGTGTAGAGCAGGGCAGAGTCGGAGGAGGCAACACCGAGCGTCGGGTCGATACCGATCAATGTGGGGCGGATATATAAACTGGCAGCTTCACTGTGTGGCACCCATTCGGAGTCGATGGATATGAGGCGGGACAGGCATTTGATGTATTCTTCACCTTCGAATGTGGGTAGGCCGGAACGTCTGGCTGAGAGATTCATACGATTCATATTCATGTTGGGGCGGAAAATGCGAATTTTGCCATCGACACCGCGATAAGCTTTCATACCCTCAAAAAGCTGTAAAGAGAAGCGGAACATTTTCTTTTTTAAATATAGTGTGAGGATATGAAGTTTAAATCAGGATGTTTTTCGTGTTTTGCAATCAGGGACAAAATAGCGAACATCGTTCAAGGTTAAGCTATGGTTGAGTTAATAAACGAGGGGTTAACTCACTAAGAGCGCGTTACCAATTTTGATTAAGTGGTTGTTAAAAATTTTAAAAGAAAGTCGCCTCACCTCTACCGCGTAGTGCAACACTTTGGCCGCGGGATGCATCACGAGATTTTCGAGTGGCGTAATCTCCGGTCGCTGCCAGCCGCCCAAACTCCGGTGGTAGTAAATTTTCAACATGTGATCGGTGAATACTTTGCCAAAACTTAAAGCCTCATCATTATCGGGTTTGGGTTGCAATTGTTGTGGCGAGGCCAGGCGTACGGCCAATTGTACGGCAGCGAACTGTTGGCCAATATCCGCATCGTGTTTAATGGGTTCCGGCGCAGCTGTGTATGCGCTGGAGATCGATGTGGTGATCTGGAAGTCTGGCTCTGCCTGTTGTTTGGCGTGTTTTTGTGCGGTCTTCAATGACTGATTGCTGCACAAGCGAATTGACTGCTCAATGAAACGTATTAGCCTATGCTGGTTGCGGAATATATCCTGAAAGAAATTGAAAAGAGAAAAAATTTGTATTTGAGAAGCTAAGTTAATTTCAAGAATTAAAAATACAAAATTCGAAAAACAAAATTTAAAAAAAATTAAAATAAATACATAAAAATTAAAAGTAATAAATTAAAAATAAAAATAATAATAATAAATTTATATAAA